AGTTTTATCAAAGTACAGCTTAATTTTACAACTTATATCAACTGAAAACTCGATTTTCATTTGATTTTTTTTACTAGCTAAATAAATATACGATCACTGAAAACCTTTAGTTGAAATGAAGTGAATATTTTCAGTGAGTGATAATTTAAACTTGTTAAAATCAATATAACATTATTATAGGACATCGATTTATGAAGAAACTAATTTTGTATTCTAGTTTTTTTCCTGAACATATATTATCCATGGCCTATATATACATGTATATATAAAATAGTTTTATTAAGCTCTTTAATACATTATAAATACTTTTTAAATATWTCTCAATTTAAATCTGATAACTGAAAAATAGTTWAAAAAATTAAATTTTATCTTATGTATTCTCTAATCATTGTTATATTTTTAGATTACTTTGATCATTCATTTTCATATTACAATTATTATTATTTGTATCAACAGTATATTATGTAGTTCTTCTGTCATTTTTATTGTTACATTTAAATCTTTCACTATCTTATTGTTGAGCTATAATAGTCGTATACTAAAAGTTATAAATAAATATTGTTATTCACATTCATTTTATGCGGTATAGATATTTAACAAGTTAGTACAAATATATTCAAATTTAATATAAATCGTTGACATTAGTAGGTTTAGAATCATTAGACTATCAATTATAAATCCATGATGGGTAAATTTTATCAAATTATCACTAATTACAGAACATTTTTAATGCAGGAAAAAGTCATATTTATTAAATATAATCTAAACACTAAATATTATGAATTTATAAAAAATTTAAAATCTCCTTTTTCCAACCATATATATTATTATTATTTTTGAAATTATCTAAATGTACCAGAATAAATTTTGTGATTCTGAAGAAAAACATGTTTTTATAATATGAAAGCCGCTAAAAATGTCAACKAATGAATTATGATGTTTCATTTTTAAAACGATTTCGACGGATTCTTGGACTGATATCAAAACTATAACTTCTTAGAAGCTATAGGTACGTTCAAAATCTGAATTCGTTTTTTCTTTGACACATTAGAATTTAATTACTGTTAGCTATTTTGTATATTATACAGTTCTTAAAAAATTAACTCGATTTAAACGTATAAGTTTATATTTATAGTAGAAATTACTTAGTAAATTACTTCGCTGAATATATTAAGACCGACCACTTAAAATAATCTATTTTAAAGTCCCAACGAAAATATTTAACATGAATTATTTACAGATTATTTATTAATGTGTTCACGTCTAATTTGACACATGAGCATGGTCAGATAATTTAAATATTCTTGGTCCCCCGGAGGTCGTATTATAAAACGATATTTTTATACAATATTCAGAGATTGACTGTATAATTGTAAAAAGCAAAATCAATTTACAATCAATAATATAGAAYACACATGCACAGTTTTAGATTAAATAAACTCAATTACTACGTTTAAAAATGATGCCGTTAAAACGCTCGTACTATTGCAGTTTAAGAATTTAAAACCGATTTGATTTCAAACCGTTTTAACGCCATCRTACTGTTTAAACGTAGTACCATATTATGATGTTTACTTATGATCAAACAAACTCGATGTTTATATTATTCTAACCTTAAACGAGCAAAAAGTTATGCGGACTGATAGACAATGAATGATGTCGACTGAATTAACACCCAACGCATAACCCGATTGACCAGCAGCGACATTCTCGGGTTATATATTAGACTATACAGAACCACATTAGCCATTGCGGTACTCTATTTCACGGCTAATACAATATGTTAATAACATATTATATTAACATACCGGGTTAAAAATAAACTGTTAAAATTGTTTTTTTTTTTGTTTTTAAAATATACAACATCTATTCGTAAAATCATAATCGAAGCATTTTAATATTATTTATATTTATACATAAGTAGGTGTTATGTATATATACCGAGTCATTTCGCCTATTCGTGTTTCAAAAAATATATTATAGCTATTAATAAAGCTAATAAGCATTATAATACTATGCATATTATGTATCTTATACGCTATGATAGTAAACTACTGCAATCGTATTTATTATTATTATTATTATTATTATTATTATAGTTTTATAAAATTCGTTTCGTTCTCTTTTGAGCTCTGCAAATCTGCAATGATATTATATCCATATATTGTAATAATTTAAATTCAGACGTTCTCTGGGCTCTTATATTAAATTGTCAATGCGCCGTTATTTATATTATTACCATTGAAATAATCGGTTACAAGGTACGAGACGGAGAAATTGATGACAGTACGTTTCACATACGTCCGTATTAAAATATATTATACTCGCGCGACAGCTTCGCCTATAACCGACTGGGGATTGGAACGAATCACGTATTGCTCGAAAAAAAAAAAGTGGCACGTAGAACACGATCATTATATTTTATATATACGAATAACAGAAAAATCCGATTTATCTCAATTTACGTCAACTAAATCGGATGACTTATTATGTATGCAAGTTCAAGTTGATTCTGTGTACATATAGTAAACATTGTATAGTTATATGTAAAGTATACATAATAGATTCGCGTATTATTATTATCAATGCGCCGASCAATTACTATTTTTCAACAACGGAGTTTATTACCTAGGTACATCATTTATTCGCATCGTGGTCATTGTTTGGGTGTAGATTGAAAATACAAGAACCGTATACAGTGCAATATATTCAAACGTAGACCAGAGGTGACTCATAGCCATGTAAAAATATATACAACAATTGTCTAAGATGTCTTTGATATCTTTCCAACTTGAGATAGTTCAGCGTATGTTTCTTAATCTCGCCTACTTTTGTCTTCAGATAGAACATCAACCGCACGATTATTTCCCCGTCTTATACACCACTTAAAAGTTAGTATAGTTCTTCCGGCCGAAGAGTTTTAGTCAACCTTAACCTTCTCAATTAACTTGTAAACGGCTCCGTTAATGCATCTGAGCTTTTTGCAGTGGAAAATTTTTATATTTATATATAATTAATATAAATATTTTTATATATATAGCAAATTATTCTGGCTATATGTCATGTCTCGCGACATTATCCAAATAATGGCCAAAACCACCGTATTCACCGAATGATGTGACTAGCAAACCAGAACCTCTCTAACCTCTAAAACGTTTATATGTGTAATAACACTTTAATGTAATATTTTTTAATGTATGCTTTTATCGTATGACATTAATACGTATTCTAATGTAAGATGAAAATAATATTTATCTAGTCAAAAAAAGGCGATCTGCAATAATAACTGTAAACGWGTAACTTCGGTGTGTAACAAATAATATATTCTTAATACTCGCACTGTATGTACCTATAGAAGAAAATTAATAATTAAGGACCTAAACAGTGAACAAGACAATTTCCTTACTCAAAATTTTGTTTTTCACGTATGTTGTTTTAGCAAACAACGCATATAAATATGCGTAATTATAATTCAAACTCTACGCGTGTATACAATAATTATTATAAAAATTAATCGAATTTCACACGTYGCATATACCAACGTGATATAATATATTGTAAATTTATAAAATACCCATATTTACTACTTACGGTCTGAACGGATTATTCAATTATTATGAGAATAAYTTCGTACATAATCACTGCCACGATCAAACGTGCACGGTAAAATGTATCTTAACGGACGTACCTATTATATCTATATAGTCGTAATCTCTAAGAGTCGCTTTAAGTTTATCTCCGCTTCTAAAGTACGTTCTATACAATAAAAACGTGTTTGGACATGAATGCTCAATAGTTCAAGCCTAGTCGGAAAACTGCATTATTTTAAATGACGGACGAATTGATCAAAGTTCCAATGAAAAAACTAACGATCGCCTCTTCTCAATATTTAGGTATCACACAGCTTTCGTATTATATTCAAGATTTTCAAGAAGGAAGAAAAATTCTATACCTGTCGAATATGAATGGCTATACGTAGGTCGTTTGAGCCCGAWACGGGTTGGTACGTATATCGCGTGTATACTGCATACGTGCGATGTGTAACTTCTCGAACGCTCAGAATCCATCGGATACACAACAATTTCTTCCTTGAAAATCTCGTGTGTTATGTTCTCGCGACGGCCGACCTACGCTTCGACGCTGTTTTCTCTTTTTTTTCTTCTGATTTTCCGGCCACGTCCGCCGGTACTGATGACGACGAGAACAATAATTGTCTGGCCGTTCGATAGCAAAACAAAATATAGTAAAATTATTACGATCACACGGCGGCGTCCTGTATAGGCTATTTAGCTACACAGCTGTGGTGTAATTAACTTTTCGGGACTTGATGGCAGTAAGATACGTCGCGATAATTAATTGATATACGCGAAATGTTATATTTCTGGCATCACGGTTTTTTATTGCTTTTCAAGAAGATACGTACCGACTCGCATCGAAGTCTAAGGCCGATACAGGACGGTACGTTTCGCTTGTATGTATTGAACGTGTAACTTCTTGGACACTAAAAATTAAATCGATACACGCAAATTTCTTCCTTGAAAATGTTGCTAGTATTGCTGTTATCAGAGCTTCTGGACGCGTCGTTGTGTCAGCGCACTGGCCATACGATTTTTCTATCAACAACTATAATGCTGTTATCATCGCATTACCATGGTTAATGTGATTACCGTTATTCAGAAATATTCACCTACACATATTATGGTTTAGGATAATTTTTTTCTTTCTCAATCCTCACTGTTTATTACCTTTGTATACACGATCGTTAATTTAGTAAATATGTACTTACAATTTTTGATGGTCATGTGGTATTTATTTCCGTCATCGTCGGAAACGGTCATTATCTACAATCATCATTATTATTACGTTTACCCGTCAACAACCACCAAAACGGCAGTCGGGACCCAACCGTGCGACGATGTTGCAAGCATGGCCACCAAAGTGGCAGTCGAGACTCAGACTTACGACGATGTTGAAAGYTTGACCACCACGAAAAACGACTGTCAATCAGTGCTCGCGATCACCAAATACAGTCCAGAGCGGCCAAAGTCTACGTTCCGAAGTCCRATGTTGCAGCTGTGGCCGTTCCGCAAGTCGTCGTCTACACCATGTCCGTCACCACCGCCGTCTGCACCATATCCGTCGCCACCTCCGTCACTGCAACCACTATCAACACCATGTCCGTCTCCACCACCACCATCTCCGCCACCACCCTCTCTGCTACCACCCTCTCCGCCACCACCCTCTACGGTATGTTCCTCGCTACTTCCGTCTCTGCCACCGCCACTCACACTGTGTCCACCGCCATCTATATCAACGCCACCGCCGCTAACACTATGTCCGTCACCACTTYCGTCTACATCATATTCATTTCCGTTAACAACTACGTCTTCACCATGCCCGTCGCTATTTCCGTTTACACCATCGTCACCACCGTCGCGKCCACCGTATCCATCACCGCTGTCAAAAATACCCTCGCAACCAACACCCTCGTCAACGACTCCGACTACACCATGTCCGTATCCATCACCCCCGTCAACACCACAGTCAACACCCCCGTCAACAAATCCATCAACGCCTACATCACCGCCAAGTCAGTCATCAACTATCTTACTCGAAACATTACATCCGTGTACTACGACCACCACGAASTGTCCACTGGCATTGAGTACCACTGACGAAGAGTCAAACGAATTTCCGTGGATGCTACCAAACGCGACACCACCTCCAGTGAGGATTTGGACGGTAACAGACACGAACACCAATCGTCCGATGACGGCTTCCACTACTACATGTCGTCGATTGGCTATTGCACGAACACGACCTACATTATCCGCGCGTAARGTTGCCCGAAATCGTTACCTATCTAGCATTTTAAGATTTTAGRTTTTTTTTTTTTTTATGATATTCTGAAAATTTCAGTATCATAATTTACTATACTATTGTAAATCTTGTACACCGACGTAAAATATAGAACATTTAAGTTTCGGCAAGTGAAACAAAAAATGTATTAGTTTTACAATCATGTTTTATATTTATTTTGGATTTTGAGCAAAGTGATGTTATGATTTTACAATCAGAGTACCAACCTATGTATTTTTTTTAAATTTATTTCGATTTTTTTGCGCGAGTGTGTTTTTGACGAAGAATAACAGTGGTTTTATTTATTTTTTTGTAATCTAAACATGTTATTCGATTCGGGGTACCTGCTCGAAATGTTTAACATATTATATTATTATACTTTGTACACACAATAACATTTTCAAATTCACAAATACTATTTTTTTTATTTTTATTTTTTTAATAGTTTATTAAATCTTCAACAACACAGATGTTTAGCCTACTTTAATCAAATGTTAAACAAAAAAAGGAATATATGTATACATTACAATTTAGTATGAATTTTACAACATTATTGTTATTATTATTTACAATGGATATTAATTAGTGTTTATGCTATGGAAAATTGTACYGATTTCAGCGTGTTCTCATCTTTRAAGGCTTGGTGGAGAGAAACAGGATTTTGAAGTATTTTGCGTGCTTCAGTGTATTTGGGGCAGGTGATGACAATGTGCTCAATCGTTAATGTTGTCCAAATAGTATTATACAATAGTAAAATGAATTAATTTATTAGAAATTTAAATATATAATAATATATTTAGTAATATAAGCTGACAAATTGTTTTCGTTCGTTTCTTGTATACTATGATATTATTATAACATAATTTAATTCAAATTTAATACTGATTTTAACAACTAAATTCTTGTTATTTCATCGTCACTCTTTGMTCCCTAGGAGAACTCTCAAATTAGGAACCATTGAGATATTGAAAAAATACTACCTAGCTTATGCGTAGATACCGACATGTTATCTAAGTCCGTCRACAGTGTGGATTATTGTCATTGTACCAACTCATATTCTTTAATTTGTAAAGAAATCTCTCTTATAATATAGGTACTTATTATTTCATAGGTACTAGAATCAATTGAAGACATGTCCTAAGGAGGTCCGGACACAAACCAAATTTATTGACAAATAAACAAATGATATATCATACCTATATTTGTCAGTTTATAAAAAATAAAAACAATTTATTGTTTACAAAATCATGTTTCTATTTAATTACAATTCATATTTAGAYAACTTCTCTTGGTTTCGATACTGTTCTGTTATATAATGCTTGTTTATGCCACCCAAACCCAAACCCCCCCAAAAAAATTTTAAAAACCGATATTTTCGATAATACGAACAGTACCGCAGTTCCAATACCCAATAATATTTAACTTATAAACTATAGAAATAATTCCTTCGAAAAAAAAAAACAATTCAATTAAACTAAACAAGAAACTAGCAAGTGCAATGTATGGGGGGCATCGTCGAAGATGTACAGCGGTGGTGGCATAAGAAACCGGTAGTCTTATGTCGACGGCACGCTTGCATATTTCTGATTTCGGGAGTCTGAATCGTCCGACGAGTCGTGCATGGCAGTGACATCCGACGAGTCGTGCATGGCAGTGACATCCGACGAGTCGTGCATGGCAGTGACATCCGACGAGTCGTGCATGGCAGTGACATCCGACGAGTCGTACACGGCGGTGGCGTCCGACTGCAGATCGTGCACGGCGGTGGCGTCCGACTGCAGATCGTGCACGGCGATGGCGTCCGACGAGTCATGCACGGCGATGGCGTCCGACGAGTCATGCACGGCAGTGGCGTACGACTACAACAGGTCGTGCACGGCGGCAGTTGCGTCCGACTGCAGATCGTGCACGGCGTCGGCACACGACGAGTGTTGCATGGTGGTGACGTCCGACAAGTCGTACACGACGGCGTCTTCCGGCGTCTAGCAAACGAATATTGCGATACGCTGCACGTGCTCGTCAGCGGCGACGGACAGCGGGTTGGCGGATGCGGACAGCGGGTGGACGGTGGTGGACAGCGGGTGGACGGTGGACAGCGGACGCATGGACAACAATAGCACGGCCTCCGAGGTGATGATCGATAGTCGACCGGTGTTTCGACGCAGTCGGGCGTGTTCGTATTGCAACCGTTGCACGTCACTGCCCTAAAATAGGGCATTACGMGGTCAGCTGSAGTCGATGACGTTTCATCATGATGGACGTAATCCCAACTCACTATCTCAGTCGCCGTCGTCGAAAACGTCACCGACATGAAGAAAAGACGCAGACTTAGTAGTATTGTCGTTGCCGAATACATGTTCATCGGAAAATCACTGTGCCCGTCCGGAGGCCGGAAAATACATTTTATCAATAACGCAGTAGGTGTTTTATTATGATGACAACCGTTGTCGATGAAACCGTGACGGCCATTCAGTTGTACCAATATATAATAGTTAAAGGTTTTTTTGTGGTTTAGTGTGTGTGTGTGTGTCAACTATGCCAATGAGGAAGATAAAAATATGTACATGCTTATTGGTACTGTTGATTTTTCGGATTTGCATATTTTAAGGATGACAATAAATTATAGTAAGCCAATTAGGTTCAATCGTTGAATTAAAGAAATATATTTWTAATTGATATTCCTTATTATATTATAATCTACTCCTCACATTTACAATAGATATTGATTATAGCATTAAAAAATAATTACGAGTCTATATTGATTATCATTTATTTTTATTGGAGATACAAAATAATATATTGTCATAAAATATATTCACGCGAGTCTGCCACTAAAACCCAATGTCTTTATTTTCAATTTATAAAGTATTTAATGCGATCATATTATTAAAATTGTATAATATGTCACTTGCCATATATTTCCATATAATTGACCATAATATTATATACTAAAAACATCAAATACGRCCTACAAATCATAAGAACAGAAAATGTGTTTTGAAGTTAAAAATAATCTCTAAATCTGCACAAAATACGCATTGAAAACTTTTGACGATTCGTTCATAATKAAATTAAATTAATTTACATCTTACATAGCAATAAATCTAATAAGTAAAAACAAAACAGAAATAATTCAATTAAAAACACTTTACATTTATAATTTAAACAACGCAGTGTAGGAGCCTATAAAAATGTACGTCAACTCAGTGAGTTCATACTTTTCAGAGATCTCATCTGTTATCAAGATTCCGAGAATCTGTTCGTTTAAGAAGATTTTTTCACCGTGTGTTTCTATAGAAGAGTAATTTCCAAGGGTTTTCTTTTGTTTTTTCAGCGACGATTTTGGAACAAACTTGTCCAACAAACAATCGGACGACGCCGTATAGAATTAATTACAGGATTTCCTACACAGAGAATGTATTTCCAAAAAAGCCGCGAAATATCATTCACCGGTCGTAAGATTTTTTTTTGTTCCTGTAACACTACATTAAAAAACGCACTACACCGTGATCTGGTGTCTGGCGCCCAATCGTTTTACGCAAGAGACGCTATGTCAAGTATAATAAAAAAATTTTCTTTTAATTTTTTATCAAACAAGGTGACATCTGATTCGCCTTTTTAGCAAATAGAAAAAAAAATGTATGATTATCCGGCCACCTACTTATTTACCTTTTTCCGATCGTAATATAACAACCCATAATAAAGCGTTTTGCGATTTGCAATGACTTACGAGACGATAATAATGGTATTTTTAATAATACGCTGGAGATAGCGTCTATATAATAATATTACAGTGGTCGTATCTTACGAGAAAATCGCGTCTGGAATCAAAGAGAAACAAATCGTCGTTATAATAAAACACGTTTCAACAAACATAAGTCCCTCATGTATGACTGCGTATGCAATATATATTATATATATATATATATGTTATAAAAGAGATCCATTAAGTCTTAACATTTATCACTGGCCCATTATCGTTCGTATATTATACGACCCCTCTAAATCATAAGTCAAAATATGACTGTTTATATGATACAATGTTCTGCTACGGCATTGTATCAGATCGATATTGTAATAATAATAATATAATAAAATAAATTTCGGACGTGTGTGTGTGTGGGTGAGTTTTTTTTTTGTTGTGCGACCGCAAACTGATTAATATATTATTATTATTTTGCGTGTAATACCTAATAATCACTAGTTGTTGTTGTTGTTGTTGTTGTTTAAAAAAATATCGAAACGATTAAATAATCTATCCCACCGGCAACATGATAGTGAATAATGAAAGAAATAGAAAAACACAATAAACAATTTCCTCCGTGCATTACAATAGTTTGGTAATAATAATAATAATAATAATTACTATTATTATTATATACCGCGGTGTGCACAATAATTTTCGTTACCACGGTTTATGCATGTACGTCACCGCTTTATATCAAACCAACACGCACGCTGTTCGTCGATTTTTACGGATATACCGAGGTAGGCATACTTAAACGACACGTRCTGTAATCGAGGTGACTTTTTTTTGACAATGTTTTTCCCTCCGTTTTGCTCTGCAGTAAGCACTGATCGCCTTTAGATGATCACATTATACAACATACCTACTGCATAAATATTAAATTTCGTGCAAAAAACCGTTCACCGCACACAATTTATTTATTATTTCTAAGTAAATCACAATAGTACACATATAGAATTTCGGTGGACGACGATTTTCCCGAGAAAATTGTCACAGACTTATTTCCATAATATTATAATTTATAACGTCCCACTCCATGTCAGCAGCTGTAACCAACATCACTCTCGTATTCTGCGACATAATATACCTACGTTTTCGCGCTGCAATAATACTTTCAAAGTAGGTAACCTTATCGTATATACATGTGTTGATTGAATCGGACGGTATTGGTTTCTCGGGGCGGATTCGAGACGAACGACAAGTCGTCGAMGACAGCAGTGTCTCGGTAGAGAGGAATTTCGTACTCTGACAAATGAAACTCCTGTCAGCCAACATTTGCAGTTCGGTTCAATATATACTCACATTATACTTGCACCTATACACACGCATAATATGAAATATATATATAT